ATAGAGTTAATTGCAGTTAAATTTGTTGTCAGGTATGGTAGTACACTCCTGTAATCCCAGTCTCTGGGAAGCTGAGGCAGGAGGATTGGTGCATCTTAGATGTCAGCCTGGACCACAGAGCAAGACTTTGTAAAAACAAATTTGTTAATAGTTCATTAAGAAAGGTGTTGGCCTTCTGCCATGTGTTGGATGTAAATGGCTTAATTAGGTGTGATGAGAACTAAAGGGTGAAAAGGGAAAATTTCCAGCCCTTGTTAGGCTTGTCCCAGTCACTTGCAATTTTCCCTGGTTTGGGGCACCCTGGGTCTGGAGAGCCTGCACATGAGTGTTTATCTGCTGTCCAACCACAGCACCCGTGTTGTCTGCCACAGTAAATGGCCTCTATCGGCAGCCAGGGTGTAGCTTCCTCTTGCCATTTCCTCCTTCTCAGGCTCATTTCCTCTTGGAGCTAGCTCTGCACGTCAGGGGCTATTCTTCCTCCAGGAAGGGTCGGCTTGCAGCCCTATGATTGTTTCTGTTTCTATGGCGCCTCAGGTTGGGGACAGCCAGGTGTTGGAATGGCTGGAAGGTTAATGCCCTGGAAGGGGGAGGTGTCTAGCCTCTTTTCCGCCCAATTAAATATTGTTTCAAAAGATGTTTTGCCAATATCTGCAATCCTGGGCCATGCAAGGAAGGGGCATTTTCAGCTGCGAGCTTTCCAGGTGGCTCCTGGTCCCTTTCAAATGGAGGTACACTGCAAAGAAATACTGAGCACAGATGTAAAACTCCAGAAACCAATCACTGCCCTCGTTCGAATGCAAGTCTATTGAAATTTCCTGGTGAGAAGGACCCCTACCCTAAAGATGGGCTCAGGGACTCCACCCTAAGGATAGACTCAGGCGTCTTCCTCATTTGGGTCATACAGCTCACTTGGAGCAGAATTGAAACCAGGACTTTTTTCTCGTTGTTATTGTATGTATGCTAGCATTGCCTGCATCTGTGTACGCACCATGTGTGCCTGAGGCGTCCAGAGGAAGGTGTTAGAACTGGAGTTGCAAAGGCTTGTGAGCCTCCGTATGGGTGCCGGGAAGCAGACTGGGGCTTCTGAAGAATAGCAAGTGCTCTTAGCCTCTGCGAGGTCTTTCCAGTCCGAAGCCTGCATCTCGGGAAGGACTTTCTATACGGAGCATAATACGTGCTGACTAGAAACCTGAAAACCCTGAACCTATCCTCTGGGTTCTTTTGTGTGCCCTGCTTCCTTTTTCTTAACTCTTGCGAAAGGACCGTTTATTTCTTTAAATGCCAGCCTTATCTCAGCTGAACCATGAACAGATCATGTTTTTCTTTCTTGTTTTTCATAGCTACATCTAGAGTAGGCCATGAAGAAAAAACTGTGGGGTTGGAAGTCAAGAAGCTAGGACAAAAGACAGAGCTCTGGCTTCAAACTACCTGGGCACCTGACCTGGGGTAAGGGGAGCAGGGGCAGCCCTGCCAGCTACATTCACAGCACCATGCTGTGATGTGTCCTTCTGTGTGGGCATGGGAGACTAGCTCCAGGGAGTGAGAGGAGGTGACTAAGAGATATCCTCAAGTTTAGCTGCTCATCAGAATACCCCAGTAGTATGTACAGACTAGATCCCCCAGCGAGGTCAGGTCCTGTGGAGGTAAGGCGTACCTAGGTGAATGCGTGCTACAGTTTGCCCAGGTGATTCCAGTGAGCATAGACTTGTATGGAACTGGAGGCAGAGGTGGTTGCTGACAGATCCAAAACCTCACCATAGAAATAAGTCACACCTCCACTCCTACACACAAACACTTTGAGACAAGGTTCTTATCATATAGCCTTTACTGGTCTAGAACTCACTATGTCAACCATGTTGGCCCAGAACACACAGATATCAGCCTGTCTCTGCCTCCTAAGTGCTGAGATTTCAGGCATACATAACCATGCCTGGCTGAGGTTCACCCTCTTCAATGTAGTGGTGGTCTTTGAATAACTTTCTCCATTTGTTATCTTTTTTTGGTTACAGAACTCTTACTGAGTCAGTAGCTCTCTGGGGAACATTACTTTCTCTGTTTGTTTTAATTTGTAGAAAGTCCTTCCAGGCTCATTCCCACAGCATTGCAGTCTTCTGATCCTCTGCTTGTTCCACCATTCCTTCCCAGCCTTCCTTGCTTCTGCCGGCCACCCTTGCCTAGAATTCTGCCTTGGGCTCTCTGTCCTTTCAATCTGCTGTCCCCTTCTCTAGAAGTTGCTTTTATTCTCACAGTATTAATAGCCATCCAGGGCAAGAATCTCCTTGACATATACTTACAGAGCTGCACTGTCTTCTGCCTGGACAGCCACCCACCTGTCCCATCCCATCATTCCACAGCTGCGTGTACTGCCAACATAAGCAAGGCATAGTGCTCCCTGCCCCAGCCATCTCTGCCACATTGGAAACATGTATGTCAAAAACAAGGTCCACATGGTAAAAGTGCAAGGCAGGTGGTGAGTTCTGGGGGCCAGCAGAGGATCAGGTGGGAGGAGAAGCTTCTCTCCAGAGGAGTTAGGTTACAATGGAGTAGACATTCCACAGATGCTAATAGACAGAAAAGTTAATACACAGGATCTTCATTTGGTTAGGACAACCTGGTAAGGCCCCTAGGCCCAGACTTGTCAGTCAGCACACACTGCTGACTCCCTCCTCTGCTGGCTAGCTGTTTAACTGATAATTGGCTGGCTTAGAGGGAGGGTTTATCTGTACACCCAATGTATCGACTTAGGCCAGATCGTTCTCACTTCCACCATCCTACACTGATACTAGAGTTACCATCAAGTGACTCACAGATATAATTGTTATTGCTTGTCTTTACGATTTTTAAATGGCCATCAGTGCTGGCACACACACTTAATCCCAGCACTCAGAAGACAGAGGCAGGTGGATCTCTATGAGTTTGAAGCCAGCCTGGTCTACAAAGCAAGTTTCAGGACAGATAGGGCTGTTATGGAGAGGAACCACAGATCTTTCAATGGTTTTGCACTGTATGCAGCACAATCCAAACTTCAAGCCTCTTAAAAGAAACCTCACTTCCAAATGAGTTACACACACCTGGATACATCCAGCACTTGGGAAGCTGAGGCAGGGGAGTCCAGAAGCTCAAGGCCATTTTTCTCTACATAACAATTTCCAGGCCAGCATGGGCTGCATGACACTCTGTCTTTGAAAGAACAACAAAGATGGGGCTGGAGAGCTGGCTCAGTGATAAGAAACTTACTGTTTTGGCAGAGGACCAAAGTTTGGTTCCCACAACCAGGTCTGTTGGCTCAGAACTGTCTCTGGGGGATTGGGTGCCCTCTTCTGGTTTCTGCAGAAATGCATACACATAATTAAAAATAAATAAATCTTGAAATCTTTTATTAAAAAAAAATATATGACAGGGCTGGAGAGATGGCTCAGCAGCTAAGAGTACCTTGCTGTTCTTTCCAAGGTTCTGATTTCAATTCCCAGCATCCACATGGTAGCTCATGATTCAATGCCCTCTTGGCTGTGCAGGCATACATTCAGAAAAAGCATTTACATACATACAGACAGACAGACAAATCTGTTTTAAAAGCAGCACAACAACAACACTAACAAGCATCCCACACTTGCTTCTCTGGGCTTTTCCCGTCCTCGACTGAGATCTCCTACCGTCTTCCTTCGCTCTGGAATTCTGCCTCTGAAACTTTGCAGAAAACAGGCAGGCACTCTTGTGATTCCTGCCTCCCTATCTTCACTCAAGCATCGTTCTCCACTGGAAATGACCTTGTCCATCAGAGGCAGCTCACCTTCCATTTTTCTTCCACTTGGAGTCCATCCAAGCACGGTGTCAAAGAGTAAGGCTTCCAGCTTCCTGCCTGCCAGTGCAGGCCTCACCACATACTGGTCTGGGTCATTTCCTTAAGTGCTTTGTGCTTCAGTTCTCTTTAACATGGGGGACACAGAAGTATTTATCTCACACAGTGGCTGTGAGCACTACAACACCTAGAATAGCGCTTGCTGCTGGGGTGAGGCTCAAAGATTATTTTGTTTTCTGCCATACACCTTTTATTTGGATTCATCCTTCAGTAATTAGCCCAAGTATGCTTTGTGAATGTGTCTACCTCCCACTGCTCTGAACTGTGTCTGTATCTTAAGAATTGTGATGGTGGCGCATGCCTTTAGTCTCTAAACTCAGCCAGGCAGATCAGTGAGTTGAAGGGCTGGCCTGTTCTACATGGTGAATTTCGGGCTGGGGCCTGAAATTGTTTTAACATAGTGAGACCCTGTTAAACACAAACCCACCAGGTGTGGTGGCACATGCCTGTAATCCCAGCATTCAGGAGGCAGAGGCAGGCAGGTCTCTGTGAGTTCGAGGCCAGCCTGGTCTACAAAGAGAATCCAGGACAGCCAGGGCTACAAAGAGAAACCCTGTCTGAAAAAACAAAAACAAACAAACAAAAAAACAAAAACAGAAACCTGACTAACGCAAATAGCTTTCCTAGTGTGTCTGAGCACTGTTTTCAATACAATACACGGCTGATTTTCCTCAAAATACTTTAATCTGGGCTTCCTAACAAGAAGTATTACAAGAACTGAAGGTAAACTTCACTCAGGGAAGGCACTACAGTGCTACCCAGAGGCTACTTCTCCACTACCCTAGAAGAGACCCTGGAGGCCTCCTGCCCTGAGTGTCATCCTCAGGCTTGGCTCATTTGGTTGTTCAAGAGGTGTTTTCTTCTTAAACCTGTCTTTTGGAATTGACATACAGCAACTGCAAAGACTACCTGGAAACAGTGTGATGCTTCAGTTCCTGTACTGGTTGTGCAGTAGCCATGAAAGTTCTGAGTCTTCCTTTTTGCTTCCGCATCATGGCCGGAGAGTAGAAAAACCCAGGCCAGAGCAGTTTTGGAACATTTGCTGCCTCAGCGAAGGGTAACTGGATTTACCCATGGGCTTCATGACACCTGTCCATGTCCATTTGAGGTGCTCTGTGTGACCTGTATGCCTGACTTTCAGAAATCAGACGCCGTGGCTCCAAAGACCCCCTGGTGAAAGCCCTGCAGCTGCTGGATGGCCCATGTGAGCCAGGGGACACCATGAAGGCAGAGGCCACAGCCAAGAGACGCAGCTCCAAGGACCTTCTGGGGAAGCCGCCGCAGCTCTATGACACCCCATACGAGCCCTCAGAGGCCAGCCAGTGGGTGGCAGACAGCAGGCTGCCAGAGGAGGATGACCGGCCTGCTGCTGAGTATGAGCAGCCCTGGGAATGGAAGAGGGAGCAGATCGCACGAGCCCTGTCAGGTGAAGGCCTTGTCATGCTAATACTTCTTACTTTTCAGAGCTGGTACACAGCAGTGCTACAAGCTCACTGGGCACAGTGTGGCTTTCAGTGTAAGTGTGTGGCGAATGATGGTCAAGTGGGCGCAGCAAACGTGTCCGTCACCCAGTTTGAGTTCACTCTGTTGAAGTGATGAGAAAGCCAGAGCAGAGTCCTGGTTCCTGGGAGCTAAGGAAGGTGAGGAGGAAAGGAGAGGCTGGTTCCATGTCTGGCCCGGAGGAGCAGCAACTCTGATAGCCATAGCAGAGGCTACTGAGAGTGACACATCTTTCATAGTCAACAGATGACTTCAGATGCTATGTCAAGTCCATTTTCTTTATGTTCCTCATTCTACAAGTCTTTTATTTTTAGGTTGTCTGGCTTGGTGACAGGCACCTTTCCCCCCTGAGCCATCTTGACATCCCCAAGTCTCTTTTTTAACAGGGCATTTGAGGTAGAGAAATGAGAATCTAGCTATGGACAAGGCATGGATTGTGTCTGTAATCCCAGGATTTGGAAGACAGGAAGATCAGGACTTCAAGGCTACTCTCAGCCACTCAATCCTCTGTGTGACAAAAAAGACAACCAGGCAGATATTGTGCCCTTGTTTCCATTTTCGTGCTTATTCCCCATCACTGAAGCTATTGAACTCAAAACAGCTCTTCTCATTCTTGGCCTCACTTACTCTTTAAGTTTGTTAGATGCTCATTGTGAAATAGGCCTAGGGTCACTGTGCATGCAAATAGAGTGAAACCAGATTGGTTTTGTTGTTATTGGTTTCCTTATTTTGTTGTTGGGTTTTGTTTTTGTTTTGTTGTTTCTCTGTGTAGTCCTATCTGTCCTGGAACTCACTCTGTAGACCAGGCTGGCCTGGAACTCAGAGATCCACCTGCCTCTGCCTCCCAAGTACTGGGATTAAACCACTACCCAGCTTGGTTTTCTTTTGTTGTTTTTGTTTGTTTTGATACAGGATCTCATTATGTAGCCCAGGCTAGCCTCAAACTTGCAATTTCTTGCCTCAGTTTCCTTAGTAAGGGTATTAGAAGCATAAGCTACAATTCCCAGCTACAAATTGATTCCTTTAGAAAGATATTCCAAAGTAAAACCTAGATTAAAGATAGAGTTACATCTTTAAATGTGGACCTTTTGTTGAGGGGCCAGGGAAGGTATTTCTCATTTAATTAGTGCGGGCTAGCCTTAAGCTCCTGGACTCAGCCTCACAGGCAGCTGGGATACAGGCACAAACCACCACGTCCTGCTTGTGTGAGGGTTTTTAAGTTATTTAAGAGAACGTAGACCAACAGGCTTTTAAAAGAAAAATTGAATGGGGTGAGGTGCGCCAGAGAGATGGCTTTGTGGTTAAGGGCGCTTACTAGTCTTGCAGGAGACCTGGTTCAGTTCCCAGCACCCATGTGGAGGCTCAACCGTTTGTAACAGCTACTCCCAAGACATAGTTTTTCCATTTGGCCTTCTCACAGAATTTGTTTTGTTTTTTCAAAGGTATCTTTTCCCCTTTACAGTAAATCTAATTGAAAGTAGGGAGAGTGTGCTGGTTGGTGGTGCATGCCTGTAATTCCAGCACTTCCTACACAGCAGAGGAGGATGGGAAGCTCCAGGCCACTGTAGGATGTATAAGAGCTAAAAGAGTCTAAAAAGAAAAAAAACAAAAAAAAAAAAAAAAAAAAAAAAAAAAAGAAAGCCAATACAAAATGCCTCTGTGTGGTTTCTCCTCTGCCCATCCTGGGGCCTCAGCAGTTTTAAGGTTCTGTTCTTTTTCTGAGTGCTTTTTCTTTCTGCTTTATTGGTTTCACTGTGAACATTATCACTGATGTTATAGAGAGAGGCCCCCAAATTTCATTACATGTATATATGTATGTTTAGTCTTTTGAAAAAATATTCTCTGAGAATTTCATACTGGATATTTTTATTATATTCTTTACTGTCCTCCAACTGCTCTCAGATCTTACCTCCTCCCTGCCCACACAACTTCTTTCTGACAAAAGGAAAGGAAAGAAAAGAGCCTCTAAAAAACAGAGTCCAGACCTTTAATCCTAGCACACCAGAGGCAGCAGCAGATGGATCTCTGTGAGCTCGAGACTAGCCTGGTCTCCAGAGCGAGTTCCAGGACAACTAGGACTACACAGAGAAGCCCTTTCTTGATAAAACAAACAAACAAAATCCAAGAAACGCAGAGTCCTATTCTTGTTGGCCAGCTGCTCCTGCGCTGACATGGCTGAAGTGTGGGTGAGGGAAACTGATCTCCCTGTGCTCACGTCCCTCCTCCGTGCTGGGAGTGGCTTGAGCTTGTGTTTGCCATGAGTTCATGAGTGTCTGGTCTGCTGTGTCTGCAGATGCTGACTCATCGAAATCATGTACTACATGTGGCTCTTACAGCCTTCCTGCCCAGATCCCTGAGCCTTGAGGGAAGCGTGTGATTCAGACACCTCCTTCAGGGCTGAGTGTTCCAGAGCCACATTCTAAATTTATGTTTAGTCTTTTAAAAAACTTACTTTAAGTGTTTTTAGACTAACGTCCATGCTGAAACACAGGTCTCCTTTTCTGTTCCCAGACTGTTTATTCTGATGAGTTATTTCAAGGAAAGTGGGGGTACAGGGATGCTGGCCACCTAGTCAGATGTCTGCGATAGCAGAGCGCAGCTGTGTAGGGGCGCTGCTCCACACTGCACTTTCCTTTGCAGCAGCATGAGATTTTCTCTTTGAGGGCTACGTGGCGGGCATCAGTGGTCTCGGGGTTAAGTGATGTCTTCCTTCCAGTCCAGTTTGAAGGAACTGATCGACTTCAAGGCAAAGAAGAGGCAGGGAGACAGTACCACTGGCAGAAGACCTTAAAACCAACCCTTTCAGATCATGGTGATGGGGAGAAGGTGGACCCAGGCCTGGCCCTGGAAAAGCAGCCGTGAGTCTCCCTCACTGATTGTGTTAGCCTGCGTGGAGTCCCCTGCATTCCACACGATCCCTCCCATTTATGAATTCTTATCTGAGCCGAGCTTCTAGACACAGTGTGTTTGTTCAGGGTGAGGAGCCTGTGTCTCGGGAGCTTCTTAAAGCTTCCTTCCATGCAGAAGGGAAGCTTGCTTTGTTTATGAACGATTGGTTTATTATTATTTAATGAGTGTTTGCCTGCATGTATGTATGTGAACCATGTGCATGCCTCTGATACCCAAAGAGGCCAGGAAACAGTGTTGGATCCCTGGAGCTGGTGTTGTGTGAGCCACCACACCGGTGCTAGGAATTGGACCCAGGTCCTCTGCAGGACCGGCACCTTCTCTTAACCACTGAGCCGTCCCTCCAGGAACAATATCACCCCCTTGATTTGGCCTTATCTGCTTGAAAGGCTTCGTGAGCCAGTCTGCACCATGTCTATTCCTAATGTGAAGCAGGATCTGTTGAGGCTGGAGCATCTTCCAGCAAGTCCTTACAAACCATGCCGTAGCAGGGTGGTGCTCAATCTGGATTTGCACTGTGACACTCATGGCACTGTTTGTTTGTTTGTTTCCCCTCTACCCCTGTTCAGTTGGTATCATGGCACCATTTCCCGAGCTGAGGCTGAGAGCCGACTCCAGCCCTGCAAAGAAGCTGGTTACCTGGTCCGAAACAGTGAATCAGGGAACAGTAGGTACTCCATTGCACTGAAGTAAGTGTCTGCATCCCGTGGGGTAGATGGGCAGTCAGAACAGGTATAATATGAAGGTGGTTGGGGTAGGCTGGGATGTGGGAATTGACAGAAAACAAAAGGCACTTGCTTGGCCACAAGTGGTGAAAGCCTGTGATCAGAATGTAGAAACTGACACTAGATAAAGACTGTATCTGTCTCAGTCGTTGTGATCCTGTTCTCATTATCATTGTACACTAGTCAGTTTCAATCTTACATTACTAGATCTAAGGCCTCCTGGGAGAGAAATAATTCTTGATAAAATAAAAAAAAGAAAAGAAAAGAAAAGCATCAGGGCTGGAAAGATGACTTTGCAGTTAAGAGCACTTCCAGAGGACCTGGGTTCAATTCCAAGCACCTATGTGGCAGCTTACAATTGTCACCCCAGCACCAGGAGATTCAGTGCCCTCTTCTGGCCTCTGTGGGCACCAAGCATACACATGGTGCTCAAGTATTTATGCAGGTAAAACACCTGGAATGGTGTAAATAATTATTTTTTTTTCTTTTTAGTTAATATTTAGTTAACATTTTGTTAACTCTGTGTCCGAGCTGTATCCCGCTCCCTCATTCCCTCCCCAACCCCACTTTCCCTCCCTGGTCTCTTCCCTGCCCCTTTCCACGTCCACTGATAGGGGGTCCTCCCCTTTCATTTGACCCTGTTTTATCAGGTATCTTTAAGGCTAAGAACAGTGTCTAGGGTTGGGGCTACAGCTCAGTGGTAGAGTACTTGTCCAGCACATACAAGCCAAAGGCTTGTCCCCAGAAGTGCAAAAATAAAAGTTAATAAAGCTAATAAAAATGTAAAAGAGTGCAATTTATTCTCCTCTGTGTTTTTAAAAGATTTTTTTATTTATGTTAAATTTATGAGTATTTGCTTTCATGTACATATATGTACCACGTGCATGATTGGTGCCCATGGAGGCCAGAAGAGGGCATCAGATCCCCTGGAACTGGAGTTACAGATAGTTATGAGCCTCCATGTGGGTGCTGCAAGATCAGTGAGTGCTCTTAACCACTAAGCCATATCTCCAGAACTGCACCCCCCTTTTTTCTTTTTTTCCTTTTTTGAGACAGGGTTTCTCTGTGTAGCCCTGGCTGTCCTGGAACTCACTTTGTAAACCAGGCTGGCCTTGAACACATTGAGATCCTCCTGCCTCTGCCTCCTGAGCACTGGGATTAAAAGTGTGTGCCACCATGCCCCGCATTCCTTTTCTTCTTGAGACAGAGTCTCGATGTGTAGCCCTGGTTGATACAGAATTTGTGAATCTCCCTGCCTCTTCTCCCTAGTAAGAGGACTGCAGGCATGTGAACACACCCAGCCTCAGTCATTTTTCCTTTATGCCCTAGTAAGTACGAGGGACCTTAATGAATATCGAGTCTTTGACTGTCAGAACACCAGCTACATTTGATACTAGTGTCTTCTGAAGAGAAGGAAATGCTGAGTCACCTGTTGCTCACTCTGCCTTATTGTGCACAGAAAACTCACTTTTGCCCAGTGGGTTTGGCAGTGTGTCTCATGGAAATTCTCTTCGCTCTGTGAATTCAGCGGTGCTATGTTGGAGGATCATTGTCAGGAACCCTAACAGTACTTCCTTCCTCAGGAAGCTGAGCCCCTGCAGCTGAAACAATCAGACTGGAAGGGACAGAAATGGGGGAGGGGCATAAGAGCAGTGTGGCTCAGAAAATGGGATAGGCCGCACAGACAATGCTAGGAACAGCCACTGTGCTCCTGAAAGCAGCGCTTGGGATCAAATCTTGGGGCTCTCGGTGCCAGCTGTCTTTGTCTGCAGCCAGGCCTGGTCTTTCCTCGTGGTGAGGCGCACACTTACTGTTGTCATTATTATTAACATTCCTTTTGGAAAAAGTAAAGGAGAAAAAACCTCGACTGTCTTTTCAGCAGCGGGTTGGGGACTGACTGTGACCTGCACAGAGGTGGCAGCAGGCGTAGGCTTGCACACCAGGCCTACTATTTGGGCAGTAGAAAAGGTTTATTTGGCATTTCCCCTTCAGTCCTGACTGCTGATGTGTAATAAGGGTAGATAAGTTGGGTGCTGTGTGCATTTAGGCTTAGAGACTTCCGAACACCCAGCAGTGTGCTGAGTTCTCGCCTATATATGTACAATGCAGGAAGGAAGAGGACCCGTTTACCCAATGGGAATCTGGCTGGATGGATGCTAGCTCACTCATTCGTGTCTTCTTGTTTTATTCTTCCAGGACTAGTCAAGGGTGTGTCCACATCATAGTGGCTCAGACAAAAGACAACAGATACACTCTGAATCAGACCAGTGCTGTGTTTGATAACATCCCTGAAGTGGTACACTATTATTCCAGCTCGAAGTTGCCTTTCAAAGGGGCAGAACACATGACCCTACTCCACCCTGTGCACAAGCCTCATTAAGGTCCAGACAGCAAGAGCCCCGGCACCTGAAAGGGCATCAGCACCCACCATCGTCACGTGGAAAGGACTCTTCTGCTGTAGATCAGGAGTCAGGTGCTTAGAAGTCAAACAATCTGTGGCCTTAGCTCCAGGGCACGTGGTTCTGATCTGTTTTCCCTCTCCCTGCCAGGTAGCTCTGCTGTATGAAACGCTTGCCCGTTACCTTCTCTCTTGGAGTAGTAGTTCTGTTTGGGGTGGGACCCTTAGGAAAGGCAGGTCAAGAGCTCAGGAACTCTGAACTTGTGCCGGGGTGCCTGGCCTCTGGACCACATAGGCTGGAAGATCTTGCAGCATGAGCTGCTCATGGGGAAGTGGATGGACAGTGGGAAATGGGAACAATGGACAGGAAAGCTGCCTTTCTCTGTGTCCTGCCACAGCTGTGGCCTTCACACAGCATCTACAACCTGAGAGCTACACTACAGGGCTGTTTGGTTGTTGGCCTTCCTGAGACTGGTATTTGCTTTCTTGCTTTCTCTCATTTTTTCAGAGTCAGTACTACGAGCAAAAACTGGAGGATCCCAGATTAAAGTGTTACTGCCATAATCAAGCAATGGCATCCCTTATATGATTCTGATTATTACCAAGTGTACTCCAAAGATTTGGTTTCTGATTTTTGAAAAAACTTTACAGAGTTCAACGACTGTTTTGTTGTTGGATAATTACACAGCACTTCAGACATCTTTTTTTTTTTTCTCTCTTTGTGCATTTTAATTGCAGGAAATCATCTTTAGGTTTTTTTGTTAAAATTAGATTTGCTTTGTATTTTTAGCAAATTAATATTTACAACAAAATTGGGATCCAGTTGTATGAACTGGAAATATTCCCCCTTATGTACAGAACAAACCAATGTTGTATCTTACAGAAGCACTTTGAAAGACACTGAGGCGCTCTGTACTGCTCTAATGTGATATGTCATTGTCTGTTTATGCTTGTGATCTGTCTGTTGTGGGCAATCTCATGGGAGTGGCATGCCATGGGTAGACATGATAGGTGACGGGCTGAACCAGAACTGGATGAACGTTTCTTGCTCAGGTTTGTAAACTGGGTCTCAAGACTGTTCCCAAGACAATTCACTGACCAAGCTCGGGTGAAAAGTGAGTACTTGTCACTTCTTTCAGATGCACAAGAAATATTAACCTGGCCAGACTTCTTAGGAGAACACAGCTTCATACTCAGCTTCGTCACTGCCTGATGGACACCTGGGCAGACTTTTCTTCTGTTTCAGTGAGGATCTTAGCGAAAGGGTTGTGGGATATTTTGCTTTTAAACGTTGAAAGGGACTTTTTCTCAGTGGAGCAGTGCTCTTCACAGAGGCTGCTCTCACAGTACTGATGGTTGTTTTGGCCCCCGTGTGTGTAGTACAGGGCATTTCGTGTTAAAACTTTCAGTAGCCACAGTTCCAATCCCATCCAGCAAACTTTTATTATCATTTAGTACCTTCTATATGTGCATTGTTTGCTGTGTTAAACCTGTTTCTAGGTCATTATTCTAGCCATGGAGCCTTATTTTTGGCTTAGCCTTCCTTACTCTTCAAAGGAATGCTTTGAGAATTAATGCTAAGAGAATTATAAACGCTTCTGTGTGGCAGGATCTGGGCCCACACCCAGCGACTCTGATGAACGCAGGCCTGGCATATCATTGTCACCCAGGCTTCTCCGTGTGCCCAGTGTGTTCCCTCTATATTTGCTTTACATGACTGAAAATGGAGGAAACAGTTTATATACAGTCTAGTCTTCATGGTAGGGGGGTGGGGGCTATAAAAAGGAAAAGTGTCATACATTAGTGGAAGGAGCATGTTAAAGCTGCTGTTTTCTTCCTAAGTTGTGACACAGGGGACAGAAGCCAGGGAGCTCACAGCTGGGAGGTGGCATATGGTGCCCTATGTTCTAAAACAACAGGTCCCAGCAGGAAGTCCTAACCATCACTGGTCAGCCTGGGCCAGCTGAGCGCGAGCTCTGAGGCTTGTCCTCCTAGCTCCAGATATTTGGGGTCTTTGTCATTTTCTCCTGATAAACATATTTTTCTGTTATCTTCATTCCTTTGAATTGATTCTGTCTCCCAGAAAAAAAAAATTTTTTTTCTAGAAAAATTGTCTTTTGGTGAACCCTCAAGATGCCTTGAACATCTGTAGCATTTATAGAGCTGTCCTTTTGTTCTTTAGAAACACTTCTTTTTAAAAACTGCTCTGTTCCAGGTTACTGACTTAGACAGGAACCACTGAGAATGGAGGGCACCTGTAAGTGGCAGAGGCAAGAATTCAAAACTAGCTTGGGCAACAGAGTGAGAGTGTCTCCAAAAAGAAAACAGAAAGGCAAATGATTTCTCTATTTTCTGTGGTAGCATAGCAGTTTCTATCAGGATATGTTTTAACAACTTCTTCTGGTGGCACAGGCCAGCAGGATATGCTGAGCGGGCAGGGATGGGAGGATCCTGAGTTTGAGCTTCCTCCTAGGTTCCACCTTAGGAGTAGAGAGACATGGCTCAGAGGTTGAAAAGACTTGCTGCTCTTCAGTTCCCAGCACCCACATGCAGCCCAGTTCCAGGGCCTCTGCTGCCCTCTTCTGGCCTATAAGGGCCCCGACATGCACATGGTTCACACATCTATATACAAACATTCATGCACATAAACTCTTTTCTTAAACAT